TAGAGACGGGGTTTCACCATGTTGACCAGGATGGTCTCGATCTCTTGACCTCGTGATCCACCCGCCTTGGCCTCCCAAAGTGCTGGGATTACAGGCTTGAGCCACCGCGCCCGGCCTCAGAGCTCATACTCTTTCACTATGTTACACTGCCTTTCATTGAATTAATGAGAACCAGCTTTTTGTGTATGACAAGGAAAAAGGCAGTAGGAAGGGAATGAGTATCAGAGCCAAGGAGTCTATACAGATGGAGTTTCTGCTTCTGTTCCATCTTGCTCAGAACTTTTACTTAGTTTCTATGGAGCCTAGCTGATGACAGCTAAATAGTATATTAAGAAGCTCTTGTTTATTTGCATTTTTGACCAAAAGTGTAATGTTGGATTAGAACTAGGAATTTTATAATCCAGTAATGGTGAATGTACCATTTTTATGATCAAGTACTGGTGAATTGTTGATTGCACAAAACAAAATATGTAAATAATTTTAAATACCTGCTTCAAAGCCACCAGCCCTTTATATTTACCAACAGATGAATTTTACGTCATCAGATTAAGAGATAATAGCTCCTTATTTTACCCTTTCATGACTTAAGCAAGGTTGAGAGTCAAAGGAACTTTTTATTTTTAGCCAGTATATTTGTAGATGGTAAGCGAAAGCAAAATACTGGAGTATATTAAGAGCTCCAGGGTCTTAGGTGCAGCTCTGTAGTGTCTGTGGCTGCAGAAGAGGTGGCCAGGAACACAGGAATGTCCTCCTGGGCTCCTGGTCACTTCTGTCCTCTTCATGGCAGGAAGCCTTCAGCACAGGACATCAAGGCAAGCTTGAATAAGAAAAACAATTTCTTCCTCTTAAGCCATGTCATATCAGTGATACAGAAATACTACTTTGGGAAATAGTCTTCAGTAGAGCCTAGATGAGCTCATGCAATCTCAGCAGTTCACTCAAATTGCCCTTCAAGTTTTACTTCAGTTTGAGAAGGCTATAAACTTATCATTGACTCAGAGGATCAGGATCAGAGTTGATTTCAGGGGCTCTCTAAGTACATACAGATTCTGCTTTATACCATGCATGGTGGTTCATGCCCATCATCCCAGCACTTTGGGAGGCAAAGGTGGGAGGATCACTTGAGGTTAGGAGTTCAAGACCAGCCTCAGCAACATAGGAAGACACTGTCTCTACCAAAATATATATATATATTAATTTAGAAAAATAAAAAGATTCTGTAATAATATGTAGACTTTTATGTTGAATGATATTGGATTCCAAAAGGTGATAGAACTTATTAAAGTGGACAAAGTAAAAATTATGGCCTGTGATGATAAAAATACTGGCTCCAGTACTACAGAATGAATAAGAAAATAATCACCTCTTTATGCCATCTTCTGTTATTATTCATCGCTTCTGAAGAGAAATGTAGAAGTGTTTTATTTTTTATTCTAGCATTGCAGAAATTGAATTGTGTTATACCAGGGTATTCCAGTAGAAAGAAGCTTATAACTCTGTCGTCTCCTGCATTACCTTTATTACACAGCATGAAAAAAGCATAGCTTTTTTTTTCAAGACAGGATCTCACTCTGTCACCCAGGCTAGAGTGCAATGGTGCCATCTCAGCTCGCTGCAGCCTCAACCTACTGAACTCAAGTCCTCCCACCTTGGCCTCCCAAGTAGCTGGGACCACAGGCACCACCACACCTAGCTAATTTTTTTTAATGACAAATCAAAAATGTTGTCTTCCTAAGAACATTATTTAATAAACTCATTTTTTAAAGAGTTCTAATTTTAGTTATGCCATTGATGAACTGTGTTGCCTTGGAAAAGTCACTGTACCCCCAGTTTTCTTATATCTAAAATGAGGAGTTTAGACAAACTGTTTTTTTTTTTTGTTGTTTTTGTTTTTAATCTTTCTTTTTTTGAGACAGAGTCTCACTCCGTCACCCAGGCTAGAGGGCAGTGGCACAGTCTTGGCTCACTGCAACCTCCATCTCCCAGGTTAAAGCAATTCTCCTGCCTCAGCCTCCCAAGTAGTTGAGATTACAGATACACACTACCATGCCTGGCTAATTTTTTGTATTTTTAATAGAGACGGGTTTCACCTTGTTAGCCAGGCTGGTCTTGAACTCCTGACCTCAGATGATCCACCCATCTTGGCCTCACAAAGTACTGGGATTATAGGCATGAGCCACCACACCCAACCTAGACAAGCTGATTTGTGTTGGCCCCTTCCCATTCTAGAATACAGTATTCCTTTTGCCTGTTAATTCAATGGAAAATTTGGCTCAAGTGAGTATTAGGTTAGCAAATACGATAAATATTTTATATATCAGACACTTCCTGTCCTTTCTCTGGACTCTGTTTGAATACAGTACTAAGAAGTGCACCTGGGCCTACAATCTATGCTCCCACCTTGCCGTGAGTTGGGTTCCCTCTTAGGCTTCCTGGATGAGTATGAAGTTAACTGTAACCTAATTATACTGGACACCTTAAAAAAGGTTTTTGTGTGATATCTCCGGGAAAAACTCTTTTCTTCCCTATGGTGTTTCCCATTTGAGAAGCTTGTATTTGAACATGCCAGTACTACTTATATTTTTAGTTATTTTTATTTCTCCACCCCATTGCTCAAGAGCTAAGTCCATGTCTTACTCAAACTCTGTATTCCTATTTTCTAAAACCCAGAACATGGTTCAGTAAATGTAAGGTAAGTAAATAATAGTTGCTTCCATTTCCTTTGAATAGCCATGTCTCTGCCCTACCCCCAGTTCTAGAAAGCCTTACCCTTGCTTTTCATGATACCTTACAGGTTTGTGTATGTGTGGGATACTACAAGCAGGAGAATATTGTATAAGCTGCCTGGCCATGCTGGCTCCATCAATGAAGTTGCTTTCCACCCTGACGAGCCCATCAGTAAGTCTGTCCCAACAAGGGGGAAAAGGAAACTGGAAATCCCCCCTCAGGGATCCTGGGAATACAGAGTCAAAAATGGGTATCTGTTTTATTCGAATTTCCATGCAAACAGCCTTT